GCACGGCACGGCACGGCACGGCACGGCACGGCACGGCACGGCACGGCGGAGCGACGGGACACGGGGCGCTGGAGCCGGTGAGCGGGGCTGGAGGACACCGGGACCGGGAACAAGAAAGAGAAGGACACCGGGAACGGTGGAGAGCCGTGCGCCCCACGGGCTCTCCTGGACGGAAAGTCGGGAGTGCTCCGGGGACCAGCCCGAGCCGGGGGTGTGGGGGAACCCGTCGGTGCCGCTGGGAGGGATGGCGGAACCCCGTCCCTTGGTGTCCCTATCCGCCGCGAGCCGGGGGCGACAGGGAATGAGTCCCCCGGTGTCCTCACCGCGGACGGGAGGTCCCGGCCCGGGGGGGCTCCGCGGAGCCTGGACACCGCTGTTTGCGGGGCCCCGGGAGGGCAGTGGGTTGGCGGCCTTCGGGTCCCCCAGGGCGGGGGTTTTGGCAGCGGAGGCAGTGAGTTAGGGGCTGGAACACCCCCCTGTTTCAGCCCTGGAGTGACCTTGTTGCTGTTTTCTTGCCCGGTTTCCTCTCAGAGGGGAGTGCAGGGGCTGCAGCTCGCCCCCCTCCTTCCTCATTCCCTGCTACCGGCACTCTGCGCTCCCTGGGGCTGGGAGTGGGAGCGGACCCGTACCCACAGGGCAACGCCGTGCTGTGCCATGCCGTGCCACACTGTGCCATGCCGTGCCACGCTGTGCCGTGCCAGGCTGCGGCTGCGTGTGACCAGGAGCGCTGGTGTGCACGGTCAGACACGAGACCCATGGTGGGTCAGTGCCCGGAGCCACAGGAGGGAAGTGGGCCAGGAGAAGCAAAAAGGGGAACGAGCTGGCATGCAGAGCTGTGCTAGCATGCAGCCCCAAGCATCTGCAAGTGTTAGCTCTGCTTCCCAGCCCAGACCCGTGCTCGATTCCTCCAGGAGGCCCACGGGCACTGTGCTGCATACAGGCAAGGAGGTGACAGGAGATGCACATCTGCCTGCTCTAATCTGGTTCCGCTTTGGGCTGTGGTGGGGTGGGTTCACCAGGAGCTGCTCACTTGCCACAGAGATGCTCCAGCACCTGCAGACAGCACAGGCAGCATCAGCTCCTGCTCCCAGCTCTGTAACGCTTCTCTTCCCCACAGGGTCCGTGGATCCCCGCTTGGCACCCACCTGCCGTGCAGGATGGGTGCTGCAGTGCTGGCAGCTGCCTGCATCCTGCTGGCTCTGCTGCCTGTGGGCTGTGCCCAGAGCACCCCTCCATCAGGATGCAGCCAGGACCTCTCCTCGCTCTATTACAACCTCTGTGACCTGTCAGCAGCATGGGGCATCGTGCTGGAGGCCGCGGCCAGCCTGGGTGCCGTGACCAGCTTCGTGCTCACCATCGTGCTGGTGGCCAGCCTGCCCTTTGTGGAGGACCCCCAGAAGAAGAGCCTGGTGGCCACGCAGGCCTTCTTCTTGCTGGGCACCTTCGGGCTCTTCTGCCTGACGTTTGACTTCATCGTGGGGCCAGATTTCTCCACCTGCACCTCTCGCCGCTTTCTCTTCGGTGTCCTCTTCGCACTCTGCTTCTCCTGCCTGCTGGCACACGCCGTGGCCCTCAACTTCTTGGCGCGGAGGAACCGTGGCCCGCGAGGCTGGGTGACGCTGGCGGTGGCTCTGCTCCTGGCGCTGGTGGAGGTCATCATCAACGCCGAGTGGCTCATCATCACGGTGGCCCGGCAGGAGGGCGGACCCACGGACCCCTGCGGGCTGGCGGATGCTGATTTCGTCATGGCGCTCATCTATGTCATGGTGCTGCTGGTGGCTGCCTTTGGCACCGCCTGGCCGGCCCTCTGCGGCCGCTACACGCGCTGGAGGAAGCACGGCGCCTTCATCTTGGCCACCTCCGGGCTCTCCATGGCCATTTGGGTGGCATGGACGGCCATGTACCTCTACGGGAACCAACACGTGGGCAAGAAGCCCGGTTGGGATGACCCCACGTTGGCCATCGCTTTGGTGTCCAACGCCTACGCCTTCATCCTCCTCTACATCATCCCCGAGGTGACGCACGTGACGCGGCGCAGTACTGAGCAAGGCTACGAGGACGACGTGTACCCCACGCGTGGGGTGGGCTACGAGACCATCCTGAAGGAGCAGAAGTCGCAGAGCATGTTTGTAGAAAACAAAGCCTTCTCCATGGATGAGCCTTCCTTCGGTAGGCACCGGGCTGCGGGGTCGGCACAGCACGGCACAGTGAGACGTCTGCTGCCAC